ACGATAAAATGGCATTATCGTCTCCCGAAATTAATTCACTCGCTATTTCATCGCTTGTGAATTACTTAATCTTTTCGGTCCACGATAAAATACCATTTTATCGTCTTGTATAAAAAATAACTATTTGTGTCTCGCCTGTAATGTACTGCCTCGCCACAAAGAGTATCTAAGGTTTTGCACTATACTTAAATTTTTAAACAGTAATTGATTAAATTATTTTACAGTGTGCTGATAAAAATTTGGTAAAGTACATTCAAAAATAAGGCCACACCTAAATGTAACAATTTTCGAAATATTTCTCTATTCTTTTTTCTCATTACTACAATGTTATATCCTACAGGTTTATATGTAATTAACATATTACATTTTACAATGGACAGTCTCAAAAAAAACTATATAATTATAACTTAATCGGACTAGAATAATTATTATTGTCGACAATTGATACTTATCCCTGAATTTTTTTGGACACACTGGTCGTTATGGCTACAATTAGGTATCTATTAATTACTCATATACGTCTATAGGAAAAATATTTAGCATACAATACTTGATTATCGATTTTTGTTTGATTATAATAATAATAAATTTCAACGTCCCATTTTTTAAAAACAAAAATTTATGACCCTAAAATAAACCAAAAAATAATAAACTGACATTTTTCTATTGATTGTTAAATTCCTCCTACAAAAGGTGAACTATCCAAATATTTATTTTATTAATCTATTTCAAGTTAATTTTTTTATTGCCATTTTCTCAGAAAATAAACCAATACTATACAGGGTGAGTCTTAAATAAGTGCAAATATTTTCAAGGCTGGTAGATCTCGATAAAAGACACATATTTTCTCTTTGTCGTTTTTCAAATAAGTCCAAAATAAGCGAGTTATTCAAATTCAAGTTTCTTAAAAATATGATTTATTTTTAAAAAAGTTTGAGAGCCACCGGATTGTTTCTGTATTTGCATTCCTTTCAGTGCCGTAACCATAGAGTAACGCTCTAACAGGCAGTTCTAAAAAGTTTTCTAAAATATACAGGAAAATGGCACGATTTTCAACATCATTTTTTTGCGAAAAGACCCTCATAGAAGTGTTCCTAGGGACTCACCCTGTATATATGCAGACAAAATATTAGTTAAATAAATGCCAAAATGGGTGTGTGTGTTTCTAACGTTTCTGCATTAAGAACCAAGTCGATTTATAAGCAATTTGTAGGCAATTCAGTCGACTAAAAATGTCGTTAAAGTAAGCTTAGGCTCAGGGCCAAATCGGCCATTTTCTATAGGCGTCTCGTTGCAAAATAATTTTGAATTAAATCGAAGGAAAATTTAATATTCAGGTCAAATCTGCTGCGTGTGTCTATGGGAAACATATACAGTGAACGTTTCGAATGTTTTGTACCTACCTGGGTGACTAACATAACGCCACTATTTGATTTTCTCTTTAGTTTAGTAGTCTAGTCTATCTATAGTTAATAACAAATATGATTTTTTTTCTCATTGGTCTGATTTTGCTTTGTTTCGTAATCAAAATAATTTAAAGGATCTTTTGCTAAAGCTTTAAAATTTTAATAGCAAATAAAATTATAATATTTAAAATTTAGTTTAAATAAACAAACATTTTGTTAAGCAATAAATAAATGTTAATAGTATAAAAATCTGTGGGATCTGAAGAATATATCGATAATCTTTCGAAACGTCTATTAAGGCTAGATTAAGAAACGACTAAATATTTCCATGGCTTTAATTATTGCGATTTGCATAGAATATACGGAAAACAAGGTTAATTTTTAACATATTATAAAAGGACAACAGAGTAGATATTTATGAATTTTAATTTAAAAAATATTTTGTTCGTGAATTTGAAAATGACGATAATTTAATATAATAACATCCTGTAGGGTAATAGTTAAAGAAAACGCAAAGTAGATTAAGTTCTTAAAAAGCGCAAGATTCTATTTTTTCCATAGCAACTGTTAAAATTGCCAAGGCTTATATCTATCAAAATAGTAGATAAAATAGTACTTTAACCGCAAGGGCAGATTAAATGATACTTTAACAGCGAGGATAGCTAAAAACGTTATTTCTTCTCGCACGTTTTTTAATTGCTTCCATTTTTGAAAAATTGTATATTCCTTTTCATAAGTTATTCGGGATTCAAATGGAAGTAGTTTGGATATGGCGTTTGTCGCCTGAGCCTGAATATCTGTTGGTAATTTACTTATTTCGTTTTAAGCCATTTCTAGCTCCAATTTAATCAGCAATCCACATGAAAAAGAATTAAAAAATATTGACTCAAAACTGACAACTAAAGGGACAGTTGACAGTTTTATTTATTTGTCAAATTACATAGAAACCAACGCCAATCCAGCGCAATATTTTTTCTACTCGTAATAAATTCCTTGAAATAATAATTTCTGAATATTTTTTAAAACGTAACTCGCTATGGAAAAAAAAATATTGCTTTATACACAACGATAAAATTGCATTATCGTCTCCCGAAATTAATTCACTTGCGATTTCATCGCTCGTGAATTAATCTTTATCGTCTTGTATAAAAAATAACTATTACTATGGTCGATAACATCAATCGTGATAATTACTATGGTCGATAACATCAATCGTGATTTCAATAAATATGGGATAGAGTGAATTTCAAACACTGATGGTATTTAAAAAATACTTTAGATACTACGATCAATGCGTGTGGTATTATAGTTCATATCAAATAAACTTTTAATCACGTGATTAAGCTTGACCGGCACAGAGTTGCCTATCTTCAATTTTTTTTAATCAAAATATTTTAGGAAAGAAACATAAATTAATTATTAATATACAGGGTCCGGCAATAGTGCGTTGGGCATCTGTAGCTCCTAAAATAAAAAAAACTTAGGAATTTTGTTTAAGTGCAAACCTAAAGTATGTATGAGGATGTATTTCCGGAAAATATTTTAACTTCTATAGGGTGGCTCAAAAAAGTGTGAGTGGATCTGGATGATTTTTTTTAAATGGAACACCCTGTATATTATTGCATTTTTGGCTTCCTTTCAGATCACTTTGTGAGTTAAAACAAATAAATCAAAAATATATATTTTTCAACCCTTCTTAAAAAAATATTAAAAATACAAGAACTGTTCTGAAATCAAAACTATATTAGATATTTACTTTAGATGGTCTGTTCTTACTTTGCTATAAATATGGCAATCGTAGATCATACAGGATGTTCAATATTTTACGCCAAACTTTCTAAAATATAAAATAATTTTTCTTTGTCTTTTTAAATGGAACACCCTGTATATTATTTTTTCAATAGATGGAGAATTAAAAAATGAACATTTTTTGCATTTAGAGAATTTCAAAATTTTTAACGGTTTCGCAGATATTCCCGGTTTTGTATTTCATATGGCATTTTCCACAGTAAATTTTTATCAAAGCCATCCAATGAATTTTCTGTCGTATTTTACCATTGAATGCGCCATATGAAATAATACTGCGTGTATCCGGAAAACTATTAAAAATTTTGAAATACTTTAAATACAAAAAATGTTCATTTTTTAATTCTCCATCAAATAAAAAAATAATATACAGGGTGTTCCATTTAAAAAAACGAAGAAAAATGATTTTATATTTTTGAAAGTTTGGCGTAAAATATTGAACATCCTGTATGATCTACGATTGCCATATTTATAGCAAAGTAAGAACAGACCATCTACAGTAAATATCTAATATAGTTTTGATTTCAGAACAGTTCTTGTATTTTTAATATTTTTTTTAAGAAAGGTTGAAAAATATATATTTTTGATTTATTTTTTAATATCTCTGAAACTATAGAAATAGATTACTCATATCGTAGAATTATGTAAAGTGATCTGAAAGGAAGTCAAAAATGCAATAATATACAGGGTGTTCCATTTAAAAAAATCATCCAGATCCACTCATACATTTTTGAGCCAACGCTCTCGCGGCTGCGGCTATACTGCTTCTCGAGCAGTACAGTCGCGGCGATCGTAGTCGCTCGCGGCTGACGCGCACGACATCCGCTCGGAAGGAACCGGGCACGTTTAAAAGCATGTTAGGAGTGCGTTGCGGCTGACGCAGTGCGACAGCCGCTTGCGACGGCCGCGTGGAAGGGACCATACCTTTAGTCGCGCTACGCAAGCCAAATTGGTTCCATTTGAAACTGTACAAACCAGTGCAGCGGCTGGAGACGCAGCTGCTAGCCGCCGCAGCCAGCCGCGGCACCAAAATCGCACCTTACCAGCTCTTAACGGACATAAAGGGCCATTACTACCGCTTTCCTGTTCAAAATATTCTAATACGACGAGTTTTTTTATGGCTATTAAGTTATCTCGTACACTTCTAACATTGCTAGTAAAAAAATTTAAGCTTAAAATATCACAACATAATTTATTTAAACCAAAAACTCGTAATACAAAACTAGTAAGTGTGAAAACGAATGACAATGTCAGGAATTAAATAAATAAACGTGACAATTTGACAGTTTTTATAGCAGAGCTACAACCTAAATCCTCAGCGGGAAATTTAAATTCCAGTTAGTCAGCCGACCGGGCATGGTTGGCAACAATGTATTTAATAATCGCGCCTTCGATTACGTAACTAAAAGTTTAATTGGTATAAAATATAGATTAAATTATTGAAAAGTGCAAGGTTCTATTTTTCTTGTGAGCGATAACATCCGTGATTGCAATCAAAATAATATTTCAAGCATTTGGCGTTTAAGAAATACTTTAGATACTACGATCAATGCGTGTGGTATTATTTTTATGTTATTTAACTGTAGAAAAAATAACTTTTATGACTGTGTTCTTGAGTATGCATGTTTTCTTGCATTGGCACGAAGTGAGACGTGATATGAATTATGAATGAATATATGAAAGTTTTGTCAGGAGTGTGAATGATAGCTATTGTAACGACTATTGTTTTACTATTGTTGATTTATTTAATTGCATTCTTTTATTAAAGCCATCATGTTTTTGTTGCAGATTTTTCGTTACCTAATCTAGTCAATATGAAGTGGTTAGTAAGTTCCGCATGTGTTTTTTGTGTGCTATTTTTCACAGTTTACGCTGCACCAGCTTCCACAAGTCTCCAGGTTGGTATTGAAAAAATATTTTATTTAATACTCTGAATTGTGTTCTATATTTGTATAAGTTTATTTTTTTTTCTATACAGGGTGAGTTTTCTACGATGTTCTCTATGGGTATCTCGGAAACTACTGGAGATAGAGAGTCGGTTAAATGGGGAAAGAATTGCAGTTTTGTGGGGTCATAAATATGGCGTTTTTCAGATTTTTAAAAAAGTTCGTGGCTTACTAAATATTTCGAAAAAAACAAATTTCGGCTATTTTAAAAAATATTCCTAATTCCATTATAATCTATTTTAGATAAAAAGTTTTCAGATAAAAGTTGTAGATAATCACATGCTTAATGAGTTTGTGCTCTCTGTTTTTTTTTCTAAAACCTCTCATTTTTGACATATGACACAAACTTATGTTTTTTTTTAAATGGAAACCATAGTTTCCATGACTTCATAAAAAGCCCCATTTTTTAAGCTTTTCATATTATAGCTTATATCGGTGAAAAGTTTAAAAAATGTCGCTTTTTATAAAGCCATGGCCAACTATGGTTTCCAATTAAAAAAACATAAGTTGGTGTCATATGTCAAAAATTACAGGCTTTAGAAAAAAGCGGAGAACACAATCTCATTAAGAATGTGATTATCTATAACTTTTATCTGAAAACTGTTTGTCTAAAATGTATTAAAATGGAATTAGGCTTCATTTTTAAAATGGCCAAAATTTGTTTTTTTTTCGAAATATCTAGTAAGCCATGAACTTTTTCAAAAATCTGCACGGCGCATATTTATGACCCCACAAAACTGCAATTCTTTCCCCATTTAACCGACTCTCTATCTCCAGTAGTTTCCGAGATACCCATAGAGAACATCGTAGGAAACTCACCCTGTATAATTTATATTATCTTATTAATATCCAAACATATAAAAACAAACATATATTGATTTTATAAAATACAGGGTGATCCATTGTTCAGAAAAAACTTTATATCGAATATTCTATTTGCAAAGATTTTTACTACATTCTTGAGTATAACATACAGAGAGAAACTTCGGTAGAATCAGCTAATGAAGTTCGGTTCACCAATTATTTTTTGACACCCTGTATTAATAAATTAATTATTATACAGGGTGAGTTTTAAATAAGTGTAAATATTTTCAGGGCTGGTAAATCTCGATCAAAGAAACCTATTTTTTTCTTTACCGGTTTTAAAATAAGTCTAAAATAACCAAGTTATTTTATTTGAAACATTTCCAAGAAAATGTTTTGTAAAATGTAAATTTTAAAAACCACTGGATCTTTTCTGGGTTTTCTTTCTTGTAACTTTAATCTACTATCTATGTTGCCATATTTTCAAGAAATTGTGTTTTTTAACTAAAAACTAAAAAAATTTTAAATTTTCAAAAAAAATTCGAGAAAAAAAACTCTGTGGTGTCAAAATATACTACCCCTAAAATATTTGCACTTATTTAAGACTCACCCTGTATATTTTTCTATAATGTTAATGTAATGATGCTAGGTGGTATATTTCATTATATTTTTTTTAAACTGTACGACTGAAATTATAGAATTGCATCAGGTAATTGTTAAATTATAGTTATGATGTCAAAGAAACCTACAAGGTTAAAGAAAGTAGGTGAAAGTAAACATTTTTTTTGTTATGTACTAGATGCCCCATCATTTTGTTATATAATTTTACTTAAAACTAATGAAATTTTACCTAATTGTATTATATTATTTATTATTTACCTAGAAATCATTGAAACTTTAATGAATAAGTATAATCCTATACAGTATGTCCCCGGATTGCCTTTACAAGAGGAAGCATTTTTTATTATTGATATTTTGAGAAAAATGAATTCTTTATAAAACATTTCTCTTGTTCAAAAATGGTTAATCATGTTTAACTTTTTCAAATCTCCATATCGTTTTAGAGAAAATTTAAAAATACATGAAAATACCGGGTGCGTCTCAAAAGTGGCTCACCCCTATAACTTTTTTATTTTTTTGGTCAAAAAAACGAGATTTGGTATGTTATATGACATAAATTAGGATTGATTGGCTTATTCAATTGTTTTCGGTTTCACCGGAAATGACTACAACTTTTGATTTTTAAATAGCACTCGCGGTATTTTTTTACTTTATTCGATAGAAAATGTCACTCTGAATAGAATGACATATCATATGTCAACTTTTGACCTTCTCGCATATGGTTTATTTGAAATTATAACTTGCGGTTCGTAACAAAAATTTGACTTGAAGTGTGTGGTATCAAATTATTCGTAAAAAAATGCTTTTCCCAAATAGGCTAATGAGCCACCCTTGTTCCATTTAAAAAAAAATTGAGATATGATTAAAAATACGATTTGATCATTTTCTAACTGGCCAAGACAAGACACTAAAAACATTAGATGATCAAATCTATTTTTCCAAGGCTCCTTGATAAAGAATTAGTGTTTTTACCATATCCATGGCACTCTAGATTGAATTTTAAAATTCAATTTTTTATTAAACGAGAATGTCAAAAGTTGACATATTATGATATATGTCATTCTATTCAGAATGTCATTTTCTATCGAATAAAATAAAAAAATACCGAGGGTGCCATTTAAAATTCAAAAGTTGTAGTCATTTCCGGTGAAACAGGAAGTGACCAAAAACAATTAAATACACCAATCAACAGGGGCGCAACTAGACATATACTTTTAGGGGGGCTCAAGTCTTTTGGGGGGGCTTAGATCACTATAAGATTATATTGATGTAAGGTTAAAACCATTTTTTTACGACACGCACTGGTCATCTGGGGGCTTAGATCATGGGTTGGCCCCCCTAGTTGCGCCTCTGCCAATCAAACTTAATTTATGCCATATACTAACACACCAAGTCTCGTTTTTTTATCTGAAAAAATAAAAAAGTTATAGGGGTGAGCCACTTTTGAGACGCACCCGGTATAGTTGATATTTAATCAAGCCCTAAAAATCAAAAGCCGTTTCTATGCTAATACCATTCCGATTTTATTCTTTGATAGATTATTATTGACATAATTTTAATTAACGTCATATTTTTTGCTGTTTTAAAATGTTAAAGAAGCATAAAATTTGTTTAGTTAGGTTAGGAAAATGTTAGGATTTGGCAAATAAGAAATTTCTATGAAAAGAAAAAATATTTCTTTTCCTCTAAATGTCAATTTAAAAAAAAATTCTCTTGTAAAAATTATCCGGGGGCATACTGTATAGTACACGAATGGTGCACTCTCAGAGAAATAATATTAATAGATAAGTAAACCTTAAAAATCCATACTGTACATATTTTTCTTGTATGATATATAAACCATAGTGACATATAACAGCATGTCGAATGCATGTCCTAAGCTGATTCCTATGACATCAGTTTAACTTGAACGCCGAAAGGGTGCGTTAACCTATCCTTTCTACAGCGTTTTCTTTGAAAAAAATATCTACTATTATCAGGTGTCAGCGAGTGGAGGCGGAGGAGGTGGACTAGGAAGTTTATTGTCAAATATAGACTTGCCAGGATTGTTACAGGGTGTCAATAGTTTTGTCAAATTGATAGGTGCCTTTTGTCCGCCATTGTCGCAGGTAAATATGAGGGTACTGTTTTTGGGTCAAGCTTGTTGTCAAAAAATAATACTGTTTTTTGATGAATTAATTTTTTTATTGAATCTGATGTTTGATGAGAATGAACGTTTAAGAAATATCATTCAGTGATGATTTGCAGAATAGAATTACTGTTTAAAACTCAAAAAAAGGAATAGTATTTGGAAATTCTTGTATAGAAGGCTTGTACGGTTGACTTGCAATATATTAATTATGTAATATTAAAATCTGTTGATGTCATTTGGCGTATATATTCGTGGAAAATTTTAATACAAGATAAACCTTGACATGTTCATTTATATAGGCTTGGTGCATACGCCAAACAACTGGTATACAGGGTGACAATTTGAAAACGAACAGTATTTAATATTACCTCTACCGATGATAGTATGAAAATTTGGCGAAATACGTCAATTTACAATATCAAGGGGGACAATTTTTGAGGCATTTGTTGTCGTGTTACTTTCAACCCTTTGACCCCCCAGGGCACCCACCCCTAAAATTTTAAATGGCAACCCCTATTTCTTTTAGCATTTTTGTGTTCCTTATAAAATTCTCAAAAAAATAATGCAGGTTATGTAGAATTCTATAAGAAACACATAAATGGTAAAAGAAATAGGGGTTACTATTTAAAATTTTAGGGGTATGTGCCCTGGGGGTCAAGGGGTTGAAAGTAACACGACAACAAATGCCTCAAAAATTGTCCCTCTTGATATGTAAACTGACGCGTTTCGCAAAATTTTCATACTATCATCGGTAGAGGCAATATTAAATACTGTTCGTTTTGAAATTGTCACCCTGTATACAAATACACGGGTTTAAATAGCGAGTATACGAAAAAAAAATTATTTAATTATTCTAAAAGTATTAGGAAGTATAATTTGTGAACATTCTAAAAATATAAAAAAGGGAATATTTTAATATCTTCAGAAGGTCTAACATGTATTATAATTTATTATTCCAGCTAAAAAAAACTTGTTAAATGAGTTCAACTCATCTAAAGTAGCGAGCATAACTTTACGCACCGGTTTGGATAGTGGGGTCATAATTGGAGCTATTTCGGCTATGACGAAGTTTTTTAAAGGTACATAATTATAATTTTAGAAGATGTTTATAAAACATTTAATCACTAGTTGATTAAAAAAAGGATATCATTATAATTCCAAATTATATTATATCCTCTCATTGTATATGCTTATTTAATTTTTTGATTATGTAATGAGCACTTTGTCAAAAAAATGTCTATACCTATGTGGCGGATTCATCTGTCCAAAAAATCCTGTATGGGTAATTTCGCCACTGCACTCCAAGGAAATCTATAAAATAAAATAGTTATTTTTTGTAAACACTTCTGGCGTTAAACCCAAACGGAAACTACTTGTCAGAAGTTATGTTTACAGTTATACAAATTTGCCTAACCTAGAAAATGCTTAACGTTTCGGAAAGTTATCTCTTTCCGTTGTCGGAAGCAAAAAAATACAAAGAATAAAGAAAAAAACTATTTAAAATATTTAAATTCAACTATACGAGAACACTTTAGTTTTTTAAAACAGATACGTATACAAGAAAACCGTTGACGTTCTGTTAAAATGACATTATATCAAGTTAAACTTCAAAATTAACAATTACTACCTGATAACAATTACTTAATAAGGTAAAACCAAAAAGTCCCAAACTTTCTGTATTATTATTTTTAAATTTTACGTATGTTATGTTTATTTATGTTATGTTCTTTAAAATCAAAGGAGTGATTGCCATACATTACTAACATCTACAGATGCATGAGCAATACATTTATTTTTATGAGATTGAATTAAAAAAGCCTCTTTTATTTTTATTTTAGAGGTTATCGCTTCTTTAATTATAATTTTGGAAGAACTCTAAGATTTGTCAGCATTCATGGGACACAGGGCACAGAATAAATTTTAATAACGCCTGATAAGAGCGCTGCGGTGGGAATTTTTAAAATGTACTGAAATGCACCAAGCCTATAGGACATTCATGAAATTTTCTGCAGTTAATTTTAAAAGATAAAATCATTGTATACACAAAAAAAAAGTGTCAAATATAAGATGCACATTTCGTAAACCAGAAACGATGTGAAAAATGATTAATTTAGAGAAAAGTTACTCTTTGCCACAAACGACTTGTGTTTCGAAAACTAAAAAATTCGATTTGAAATACTAATAATTTGGTAGGTATACTAGGTAAGGACTAAACAAATAAGACGTTTGGACTTCAAATTACAATCTCTAACTAGCCTAGTAAGAACTTTAACTGTAACATCCACATTTTTGACCGCAAGCTTACCCAACCCTTGCCAACCCAACCCAACAGTACCGTATCAATCCCCCTTCCAACCCTGTCAACCCACGCACCAAACTTCCAACGCCCGTTTTAGGTCCTAGACAACGTCATCCAAAACGTCACGAGCACAGCCTTTAGAGTATTCGGCAGGGCGATACTCAGGAGCGGAGGCCTGGGCGGGGGCAACAGCGGCAGTGGCGGCGGCGGTAGTCAGAGGGTGAACGTGGTTTTGCCCACATTCCCTCCAGACGAGGACTACGAGGACGAAGACGATTCGACCACGACCTTGGCGTCGGCGAATAGTTTGCAGAACGAGGTCGAAGCTGTGACCGAAGCCGGGGTAACCCTCTATACCGTAATGACGTAGATTATGTGTTGTGGGTTCATGTTTGCGGAGTGTTGGTGGTTCATCTTGCGTCGATACATTGCAAGAGCTTCATCTGTTCGCATATACGTGTCTTGGAGTTGTCATTTTGTGGTCACAATGAAGTCAACTGTTAAGTTCGTTGAAAATTTTTAAAATACTGTAAATCAAAAACCAACCTGTAGTTCATATCAAATAAACTTTTATTCACGTGGTTAAGCTTAACCGGCACAGCGTTGCTCACTTTTACATGTTTTCTTTTAATCAAAATATTTTAGAAAAGAAAAATTAATTAATTATAAATGTATAAACAGCCATTACTACCGCTTCCTCCAAGTTGCGATGAGTTTCTTATGGCTATTAAGCAGAGATCTTGTACATATCGCACTAAAAGAGGTTCTAAAAAGAACAAATGTTCGGATGCAAGGTGTTCTAGTAAAAATGTTTAAACTTAAACTATCACAACGCAATTCATTTAAACCAAAAATTTGTAATACAAAACTAAAGTGTCAAAACAAATGACAATATCAGGAAATAAATAAATGAATGCGGCAACTTGATATTTTTTATAGCAGGGCTACCACCTGAGTCCCTAGCGGGAAATTTAAATTCCAGTTAGTCAGCCTGGTGCCGAATATATCCAAGGTTGTCAACAATGAATTTAAAAATCGCGCCCTCGATTACGTAACTAAAAGTTTAACTGGTATCGAATATATACAAGCCCTAGAAGCAAACCATATAAGTCACAATACACAATTTTGAGAAAAACGAATTTAAAGTTCTTTTTTGAAGTTATTTCATAATTATTCCGTTATTTTTAAACCTATGATTGTAATACTTGGTATATGACTAACTTATTTTGAACTTAAATGAAATGTAAAACAGTTTTTAGGGTTCCGTAGCTAAAGGATAAAGACGGGAACCCTATTACTAAAACTTCGCTGTCCGTCCGTCCGTCTGTCACAAAGGTCTATCTTATGAACCGTTATAGCTAGACAGTTGAAATTTTCACAGATAATGTATCTATGTTGTCGGCGCTATAAGAACAAATACTAAAAACAGAATTAAATAAATGTTTATAAATAAAAAAGTACTTTCACTAAACATTATCTTTTAAGTAAGAATTTTACATAGAATCTTTCAAGTCCTCGGTGGTCTCGCGTTATGACCTATGACGTTGGAGCCGTAGTAAGGCAGGTTCGAATCCTAGTCAAGGCGACTTTTTTAATCGTTTTTTTTTTAATTTTTACATATTTTACATATTTATTTTTATTTTTACATATTTATTATTGATTAATACAATTTTTAGTAATGTGTTTCTTAATTTTTTTTTAAATTACTTATAAGCGCATTTAAAATTTCAGCTTAATCGGAAAAAAGTTTATAATAATATAGTGTCTAATGCTGTATAGATAATGAATGGTACGGAACACTTCGTACGCGAGTCCGACTCGCACTTGACCAATTTTTAAATAAATTATACCACCATTTTTTTGGAGTGACTCGTATATGCCAATTTTGGACTTAACATAGGTTGCTTCTAGGGTACTTCTATGTATCTTCTCAAAAATAAAACTATTACGTATAGTAAAGCCATTAAACATAAAAAAAAATATTCATTCCATTTGACTGCTTGTCTTTGATATAATTTATATTCGATATTAATAATTCCGTTGTGGCCACAAATACATACTTCAGTTACTAATATTTCTGGAATTGTATCCCAACCATGAGAACCCAAGGGACAACATTATTCATGTTTTTTGCATTTTTATCCTTCAAGCTAGATTTATTAACAAGGATATTCAACCAAAGGCCCAAAAAATCGCCCCCCTGTCGAACTCTTTGTTAATATTATCGTCATTTTGTCTCGAAATATCATTGTTTTGTTTTGTGTTATGTTATTTTTTAGTCGCATGTGCATATAATGGATAGTATTAAGTAGCATAGTTGGTAACATTGTATTGTGTCTGTAAACATTAATTTTTTTCCTGTATATTTTTACTAAGAAAGGGTTATTTTTGCGGGTAATGAGGTATAGGAAAATTGATATAAATATCTCATTGTGTTTCAGAGTTTCTAATATTATGTAATGCATAACAGAAGTTTATATGCTTGTCGCTTTTGTCATTTTTTAAAAATTAATATAAAAAGTTATAAAAAATAAATTACTTCAGAAAAAACTGGGAGAATGATTGGCGTGTCTGAAAGTTATTTATCATAATTTTTATTTAAATATTACTTTTCATTCTACATGTTAATTCTACGTTCTACGACATATTTCAAAGGTCACCGTGACGCGTTTTTTTTTCGAAATGTATGGTGATATGTATACTCTCCTATATCTGCTCAGTACATAACTTCTTATTACACGCATATTTTAAATATTATCTGAATAAAGACCTCGATTGCTTAAGTAAATACTCAGTTCCAAACAAGGAAAAAAGGTTGCTTGACATAATTATAGCATAATTTTGCGTATAATTCAGCTTTAATGTCCTGTAATTTTCGTGTTATATATCATTAAAGGAGTAGTGTTAAACACCTAGTACTTTTATTCGTTTTTGTATTTATGTGGAACATTATTTTCAAAAAATACGATACTCAGTTTTATTTTAATAATTTAAAAATAAAAAACATACTAATTAAAATATTTTTTTCTATAGTTATTTTCATCTGCTCATTATGCTAAGCTAGTTAACGAAACGCGCGTCTAGTATTCAAAGTAAAGTGTTTAATGGAAATTAGCGCACTTGTAGAGGTTAAGGCCTTTTTATGTTTGTGTATACTAAGTATGTTATATTTTAAAGTGTTTTGGTGTATTGTGGCGAATTAGTGTTTTATCTTGCCAAAAAATGTTCATTTAAAAATAATTAAATATACTAATGAAGCCAATTATACAGGTTTTGTTCTAGTTGTTTTAGATTTAATTGATTGTTTACTAATTTTGTTTTCAACTTTTTATTTTTACATAATTATTTATAAATTTCGAATAGTTTTTTTAAGTTAACGCAAAAAGACATAAAATATTGTTTCAAAATCCAATGGGCACATAACATTTTACATTTAAGAAAAAAGGTTGCACCAGTGCAGTCCCGATTGGCACCTTTTGTATTTAAAAAAATATTTCGTTTTTTACGTCAAAACCAACTGTCACAGCGTCACGTGTCGTAGGCGGTCAAGTTGGTCTTGGTCCAATCCAAAGGTCCAATCTATCGACATAACAATTTTCATTTAAAGTGGACGAATTTTTCTCAGCCTTAGGCTGTCCTGACTTTGCTCCCACTTCGCGTAAGACCTCGAACACACTGACGGCCAGGTCGCAACGGCCAGGCCGCTGCTACCTCTAAAACCATTAAATCAAATGATACAACGCACACTAACGACCTGGCTGTTGGCTGGTTGATTGCTTCAAATTGATTCAAAAATATTCTATTCAGTTTTGTCTCCGCATATCGTAGTTCTTTTGTGATCTTCGCTCGGTATGGCTTTGAAGAAACATTACTTTATTTAATATAAGAACATTTAATAAGCTCATGAATAGGAACTTCGCTTTTTAGTTAACTCGGATATTTTAACATTTCTGAAAACAATATTTTCTAATTGGTAAAACGTAAAAAATCATTAGATCTGACAACCCTGCCGAAACTGGTGGTTCATCTGGCCGCATCTATGTACGCAATATATCCGGCCAGCCGACGCGACGGCCAGGTCGGTGCTACCTGGTTGTCAGTGAGTTCGAGCTCTAAAGAAGTTTCATTTTAAAAATGAGAAAATTACTAGATAAACACCATAAGAACAAATCAATTTCCGTACTTATTTCATTACCCAAACATTTAACCGTTTGCTTTACCCCTTCCAGACATTCTAACCTCACATTCTCATCTTTTTTTCAGTCGCCGACGAGCGAAGTGGACGACTCCGCCAACTCCATCTCGAAGCGACACGTCCGAGTGGTCAGAGAGGCCGAAGCCGAGGCGCCCGCGGCGCAGGATCAGGAAGGCGCCGAGTCGGCCCCGCAGCCAGGTCAGGACCTGGCCGACGTCGACGACCAGGACCGTAACAAACGGTACTCGCCCTTCGGGGGCGGCGACGGCGGTCACGGCGGCGCCGGGGCCGGCTCGGGCAACTTCCTCTTCGATATCATTCGGGTAAGCAGGGTGGTTTGAACGGGGGAGTTTTAATGGGGAGTCGAATGTTGATGGTTTCTATAGGCAATTAATGATTCTGTCCCATAAATTAAACTATTCTTTTGAGATATACTAGCCGCCATATTTGTATTTATCATAAAATCTGTGACTTTGAATCGTGTGTCTGGGAAATTGTATGTATTTTTTTGACTGTAGCAGGGTGGCGCCTCTCATACGACGCGGAGGCTCCAAGGAAATTCTTTGTATTAAAATGAAATTTTGTTAGCATATGTAGGTTAACTCAGAGCACTTTTTAAAATTATAGGGAGTTCTACAGGGTGTCCCCAAAAAAGTTACATATCAAAGTTGTTTTTTGTAATGGAACACCCTATATATTAATTGATTTTTAGATTCTGGGAGAAAAATAAAGGTCGGTTTTATAAGAAAAGTATATGACTAAAATGTAAGGTTTTTAAAAACAAAAATCTTTAAATTACAATAAAAGCTAGCTAAATTGGAATTTACCCGGTATAGCCTAATGTGTGGTTAAATTAACTATTGTACTTTAAATCAAATTAAAACTTGATCCAAAAAGTTATACAGGGTGAGACAAAATTAATATTGAACATTGGTAACATTTAAAAGCAAATTACTCTTTTATTTTTAATGGAACACCCAGTATTTTATTTGCATATTCAATGGGAAATTCGTGTATCTTCAAAATACTATTAAGGTTGCCTACCCCTAAAACAAAGATTTTCCTAGATATTTTCATTTACATGATTTGATCTAACTGGATCTTTATTATTTGATAAATCTAGGTGGCTGTGATATGTCTGACGTTACTTCAACATAGCTGTCTAATTAGTCCAACTTTAACAACTAGTTATCATTTTGTGTCAGTTAAAACAAAAAAGTTTCTCAGAAATTTGCCAAAAATGCAAACTTATCCTACATCAGAAAGATAATTGAATGATATGATTCTATTAGTTGGTGAATGCAGTGTACATTCACCAATTAATCTTTCCTCGACCGTGAGGGGTATTTTAGGTGCCCAAATGCGTTTTTTCTTCAATAACTTATACAATGTTTATTTCTCACTCTCACTTTTTTCCTTTCAGGTAATCCTAGAAAATATATTACAAAACCCTTTTTTAACAAAAATATCCAAATAAATTTTTTATTTTCCGCGAAAAACTGAAATTTACTGCCTGGGGTACCTCCGTTACCCCGCACGGCCTGATGTGATTCGAAATCCTACAGGCACTATTCATGTTTTTTCGTGTTGGTGACTTTGTATGAAGACGTAAACAAGTTCTATATTTAGTTTAGTATTGGTATTTACTGTGCTGTAGTAAGTTAGTGTGTTTATTTATTGGAAAATGGCGCAAATTGAATATACTGATGATGGACTAACAAAAAAGAGATTCTTGCCGAATTCGCTTCGAATTCTGCGCCTGAAGAGCAATCCTCCAGCACAAGGACTTGTACTACCAAACGTTCTAAGAAGGAAATAAAATAGTAACAATTTTCAGAAAACTGTAAAAACAGCAATAACTTTATTTCTTGCCGAAAGCACAGTTCCCATAAATCCTGCCAAAAAAATTCAACCATATTCAAACCAAAGATGCGGCTTTTGCGCCAGATCACTTAACAGAAAAAAAAAAATATTATGTAGTACATACAAAAAAAAAACAGTTTTAATATTCACCGCAAAGAATGTAAAACGTTTGCCTGACTGCCAAAATAATGTGTAGAAAATTAAGAATTTAGTTTTAAAATTAAATGTTTTTTATATTAAACAAATACAAACTATTTAAATTATTGACGTTTTATTGTAAAACTTTACATATAATTATTGATAATTTACCTCAGTGACAAAATGGTAATAGATTTTGCAATATTTCAGTGGGGTATCATAGTTACTCCACACGGCCTGAAACGTAACTTTTTGTAGCACGGTCCCGGAAAGGTTAATGTAATACTTAAATGCTCCCGATTATTACTCTTCATTTTCACAAAATGTGAAATATGGCAAAATCCTTACATTTTAGGTATACGCTTCTTTAATAAAACTCACATTTATTTTTTCCTAGAATCCGAAAATCAATTAGTATATAGCGTGTTCCATTACAAAAAAACAGAACTTTGATGTGTAATTTTTTTGGGGGGACACTCTGTATAATTCTATATATTTTTATAAAATGCTTTCAATTAACCTACATATGCTGCCAAAATTTCATTATGATATAAACTATCGTACTCCTTGTAGCCTTCGCTTCGTATGAGAGGCGCCACCCTGTATATGCCATTCAATAATTTTTTATTGCAACAAAATTTCTCATAGGTATGTTCCTTATTAGTAAAGATGGGAAGATGCGGTTTGCACAAACCTGTCTCAATTTTTGGTCCAACGGAAGATGCTGTGAACAAACTTTTCATAGTTCTCTTCATTTATGAGCTACAGGGTCTTATTTTTGAAAATTATGATGAAGAAACAACGAAGGCTATGAGAATTTTGTTTACGGCATCTTCCGTTTGACAGAAAAGTAGTAAAAGTAGTTTGTGCAAACCGCATCTTTCTATCTTCACTAATAACACAGATACCGCGTATGATTTCTACAAGATTCCTCCAAAATAAAACGGAGTATTCCTATTCCTGTTCTACATATCTTCTAATCTTTTAATTCTTCTAATCACGAACCAATAAAATGCTGAATATCGAAAATTGACGGGATAGAGCTTGTTGATTGTCTAGGAACTATCGATATTCTTTCAGTCGTGATTTTATTTGATAATATAGGTTAGAACTATTTGAAAAAAGGCCTGGTATAATTTCATATTTAAAAATATATATCAATATTAAAATTATATTGTATTTGCATTATGTTTATATATTGCCTTTAGGCGTCTTAGTGTTTTAAAAGACCACAATATTTCAATTTAAGACGTTTTCCCACTTAAAAAAATGATTTATAAAACTAGAGAAAGTTTCCCATATAGGTACCATGCCTTTATTTCGAAAATATATTTAGCGTTTCCAAAAAGTATCATATAAACATTTTGTATGATAGGTCAGTTATGTTACCTTTAGTATTAGGTCTATAAGTGCATGTGATTCTCTCATGTAATTCATGCATTAAAACAACTTCATGTTTTTATTCATTTTCATTTAGGGTAATTATGTTAATTTTTGTATTTTTAATATTGTAAATAAATATGTTTGCCTAATTAAGGCTTTTTTTATTGATTTTAATTGTTGTCTGTGGATAATACAGGAACTGTCCAGTAAGTAAATAACATATTTTATGATATAAATTATTTTAAAAAATAATTCATAAAAATATATTGTACTTAGGCATTGATTATAAAAAATATCATAAAAATATTGATATATCGTCGGTCTAAGATGCAAATTGCCTAAGTCACAAAATGAAAATTTTAGAGGAGAGGCAAAAAACGTAGATGAGTAATTAAATAAAATCCATATCAAAAACTGTAATTTTTTTTTTGCATCTATATTGTCATAAATAATGTTAAGTACAAATTGTTAATGTTGTTTTTAAGTTTACAAAAATAATTGAATTAAAAACGGACATAAGCTATTTGCGTCGTTTTTTTTTTCTTGTAATTTGGGACTTCGGCAAATTTCAATTACCTATAAAATGAAACTAACATTTTTTAAAGATCAAAAATGTATTATAAAAGTAACTAAAATATTTTGGAAATATGGACATATTAAAAGTAACAGGATTCAAATTTTATAAATGAACTAAGTTATCATAAAAGCCGTGGTAATCTTTCTTTAGAGACACTTTTATATCCATTAGGTGATTATATTTTTCTTTTTTAATTGGTATGGGACCTTTGTATAGCTGGGGCAGTTCATCGTAGGGAATTGCAACTTTTTTATTAAGGCGACAAGGTAGTGGCGCCCATTCCTCAGAATGACGTAACCTGAACATTATTGACCCATCCTTGTTGTACTTGAGACCCCTGATATCAGTCACAGTCGGATCACTAGATAATCTTCCCGGCCTTATCGAATTAAACACTTGCATGGGTTCGAAATTTTTAAAAAAACTATAATCAAGGTATTCTACAACATAGGGCCTTGGATGTAGACGTGCTGACTCGCAAACCTCAACATAATCCGCTGGAACATTGATGTTTTTTTTCTTTAGTTTCCTCTCAATCGAGGAGTGCATGGAGTCGCACTCCATTTGCGTGTGCCCTTTCTCCAGGTATTTTTGTTCAATTGTAATCTGCATTTCTTCGGATAGTTTTAAAAGGGCACTTGAGAGTACTGCGTACTGAGTACTGAGTTTCGATTTTGGGCTGTGCAACCATCGCTGTAGAGAATAACTTTATCTACCCCTTCGTTGATGTGCCTTCGGAAAAAACTGTACAATATTGAAGCAAATGTATTGGCAGTAAGGCCAGCCTGTCCCTCATGCCACAGATAACAATAGCCGTCTTTCGTCTTAAGATTGAAAATAGTGAAATTGTGCACTATTAACTTTGTTTTGTAATAAAGCAGAGAGACATTGGACTTAGGGCATAATAACACAGATTGCATGTCCATGGTATAAACATTACAATTAATATCTGATCCATTTTTGTCAGTATCTTTTTCTTTGCGAGCTTCGTCTTTTTTCAACTGATGTTCTTGATAATCTTGATCACTTAGATTTCCTGCTTTATGAGCAACACATTTATCGCATTCATCTTTTTTTGGGGAAAACAACGCTATATTCTGATCGTCCATCATATTTGAAAAAGAGGCACTAGACATAGGTTGAAAGTTATTTCTTGTAGAACACCACTCATTTTTATAAATCCTGTACAGTTCCATTTTAGAGGTAAAAATTGGCTCCAAATAAAGCTTGCTTGTTGACTTCCGACAGTAGTGGGATTCTAGTTTTGGCAAACTTTCAATAAACGCCTTTAAGTTTTCCTTTTGTTGGTTTATTCTAGCTTTTCTTGGGTTAACAGTTATTTCTCTTTCAGGAGTAGCCAAT